TTTTACCATTTTTGAAACTAAAAAATGTTCCTTTAAAAGAGGTGTCAAATTGGAAGTAAGAAAATAGATGACTCACTAAAGACATTATTTGGTAAGATTATTCTGACTCCTGAATAATCTTACCGGATTCATATACATGTCCTCCAACATGACTCTGGTATTGGGATGGAAATTCATTTCAACAGGGCTGCTATACACATTTTGGTGCATTTATTGGGGCACTGTGGCTTGTTCCACAAAGCCCTGTTTTGGGCTGACAGATCATGCAGCACTACTGGTGGATGATCTACTTTTTTCTGTATCAGAAGAGACTTGAGAAACTGTAAGTCACTTCTGGAGAGAGAGTTGGCCATCTGCAAGCATGTTGCCCAAGAGATGTTTTATCATCCTGTGGGAGATTTCTCTCATGTCCCTAAATGGGAAGCTGGTGCTGACAGATGGAATCTCACCCTATCTCACGGATTTGAACCACCAAACTTCAGATCAGCAGTTCAGCTGGCACAAGGGTTTAAGGCATTGTGCCACTGCAGCTCCTGGTTGAGCTATGATGATATATATCAACAAGCTGGAATGTGTCCAGAGAAGGGTGACCAAAATGGTAAAAGGTCTAGAAGCCAAGCTCCATGAGGAACTTGTAAAAAAAAATTAAGTGGGAACATAATAGCCACGTTTAAACATTTGAAGGAGGGAGCCCCTGGTGACGCAATGGGTTGTGCTGACAGGACTGAAGACCAACAGGTTGGAGGTTTGAATTCGGGGACAGCACGGATGAGCTCCCTCTGTCTGCTCCAACTCCACATGCAGAGACATGAGAGAAGCCTCCCACAAAGATGGTAAAACATCAAAACATCTGGGCGTCCCCTGAGCAATGTCCTTGCAGATGGGCAATTCTCTCACACCAGAAGCGACTTGCAGTTTCTCAAGTTGCTCCTGACCCACACACACACACATTTGAAAGGATGTCATATTAAGAATGGAGCAAACTTCTTTTTTGATTCTCCAGACACTAAAACACAACAACAGATTCAAACTACAGGGGAAAAACATTCCATCTAAGTGTTAGGAAGAACTTCCTGAAAGTTAAGAGATGTTTGGCAGTGAAATAGGCTGCCTTAAAATGTGATGGGAGTCTCCTTCTCTGGAAGTTTTTAAGCAGAGGCTGGATGAGCCATCTGCCAGGAGTGCTTTGTGCATTCCCATGTGACACAATGGGGTTGTTGTTGTTATGTTTATTTATCTAGACTTGGTTTGCATGCTCTAGGGATTCATTATGATTCATTATCTGATTCTACAGTTCTCAAGAGATTACTGGCCATTGTCAACAGGCCCACAATATTCTAATATTGACGGCCACCACGAAGAGATAGGTTGCCTTCCTGTATGCTGAAGGGTAGCCCTTGAATATATCAGAAAACCAGCCAAGGCAGAAAAGTGTTATGTGTTTCTTGTATTATTCTGGCTGAAACCTGAAAGCCTACCACATTAATCAAACCCTTGCTCCCAATTGGCAACACTGATGATGTGATCTGGGTACAATGCCAGGTTTCGGGGTGATGGTTTGCAGTATCTTCTAGTTTAGACAAAAGTGTACTTAGCTGAGTTTTGCACTCAGGTGTATTTTGATGATCTGCTAAAAAATACAGGTTTCAGATAGGTACACAAGACACCCATAGGCTTCATCGTTATTTTTAACATATTTTAACAAGTCACAATAAAATAGGAAAACACAATTAAAAAAACTGTCAAAGATGATGTAAGAAAAATAGCATGTATATATTTTATATATATAAAAATCTACAGTATTTACTAATCTCAATACATACTTTTAGGAACAGCTGTCTTTCTGATGCTAGCATCCAGTAAACTGTACAGCTTATATTTTTTATTATATTTATTATGAATCACAAAGCCATGGTTTAAACCTCGGTATTATTACATAGCCACATTATTATATACATACATCTCTATCTGGCAGTTAATAAATCAGAACTAAAAGGTGAAAGATCGAGTACTATCTTGTCAGTTTTAGACCAGGGACAGGGGAAACTGAGGCCTACCTGATGTTGGACTACCATTCCTATTGCTCCTGACCATTAGTCATATTGGTTGTGGCTGACGGAAACTGCATCACAGTAACATTTGGAAGGCCTCAGATTCACCACTTCAATACAATACTAAGCAGTTACTTCACGGTCTTCTGCACATTTTTTTTTAAAAGTCAGTTGCCAGGTTAATTTAAAATTACATCTGATTCAGTATATACACAAAACATCCACTATGTTGGCTAAATGTTGCTTTTGTTTGATTTTTAAAAGACTCTCGGCAGCCTCTCCCAACTTGGTTTCCTCCAGATGTGTTGGTACTACAACTCCCCAAAGTTTATGGTGGAGTCCAATACATCTGGAATGGCCCAGGTTGGAGAAGCCGGGACTCAGTACCATAAAACATGATGGTGCCGACATTTCATGAGCATAGGCACTAAAACACACTGTTTGGAGCAAGACTGTGCAATTTGCAAATGGAACCCACCAATCATGCATGAGATTGATTGCATCAACAATGATGGATTGAGATCCAGCTTTCACTGTTTGCATGGCCCTGCAAAGTGAGGGAAGGCGGCAATCTCCTGGTAGGCTGCCTTCAGCTGGATGGGTCTTGAGTTGTGCATACATAGTTTTGAGGTGGGAAACATATGTATTGTACTTCTAATAGGGATGGGCAACTGTGAGAAGCTAGAGGGGGGCTGTATTGGCCTTCTATGAGACCTTGGGGTGCCGTCTCCCTCTGCATCAACATATATACCCCCCCCCCCCCAAATGCCACTGAGTGTCTTCTAGGGGCTTTGAGGTCATTTTAAACATGTTATTAGAAAACCCTAGGCCCTTTTACATCCAGGAGAGGCCTATTCCAAAACAGAAAGTGACTAGAAGTCACTACAAATCTTAAGAAAAGGCCAGGGTGTCTGGGGGCATTTGGGGACAAATTGGGACTGCTCTAAGTTATTCCTAAGTAACTCCTATTCTAAGTTATTCTCAAAATTAGAGCAGCCAAATATCTTTTCACAATGCCTAGTAAAAATTGCTTCCATTTCTAACATGCAGCTTACCAATGCTTCTTTAAAGAATTATATATGTATACTTGTTTTCACCCACCATAGTTAACTTAGAGGACCAGCATACAGTTTGGGTAACTTGGCATTAGGCCAAGTTACCTATCAATTATGAAAAACATATTGGTAAAATGGTATCCTGAACTATTCAGGTGCAATGAATTTTGTGTACCTGCAATTGAGAAATCAGAACCAAAAATGAGTTCCCTTTGTGTATCCCTCCTGAATCACATCTACTCTTTCGCTTACAGAACTCAACCTAGACAGATATCACTGATTCAGACTCCTAAGCATTTCCACCATAAAAGGAGGGTTCCCTTAATCTCCTCTTTCCAGGAATTGCTACCCAGTCCCTGAAAGTGGCTCATACAGAATGAATTGTGCAGAATGGAGGTTTGTGGAACAATGTCCACTGCTACTCCCTTAAATCAAGGAGAACGCAACTTAGATATTTAACTGAGCTGCACTCTTCCAACTCACCTTGCCCTGAAAGATAAAAAGAAGAGGAAAAGCCAACACCCCGAGGTTGCAGGCACTGATTACAGAGCAATGCATTTGTCGGTTTCCATTTCACAATGATGGAGCACTTCAGCATTAGGCTTTATACCTACAATCATCTCTGAAGGGCCAAATGGTACAGCAGCCAATCAAGGGCCTAACTGCCTATTGCTCTCAAGGAAAATAGATGCTCAAGGACATTAAGGGATCAGACAAAGAAGGTGAGGAAAGATGTCAGATAAACAGAAATATCAAGCAAGGGATCAGGGCACAGTTTTGAGGCTGATATTTTAAAAAATCCTGGTAGAATGTGTACAGTGGGTGCCTCCCAAATCAAAACATCTGCAAAACCTTCAACATTTGTCTTCACAGAAGGCATAGCCAGGCTGAGACCCGAGCATGGGAGATTTGGGTTGCAAAGGCTGGGTTTTGTGTTGGCTTCACTGTGGACCTGCACAGATTTCTGATTCGCCAACTTAGTTTGACCCACCAAAAGTTAGATGCCCATTCTGTCTTTCCTGGCTTATGAGGATGAAGCAAAGGCAACAGATGCTGAGTTGATGAAAGGAGCACACTCAGATGAGCCACAATATAGAATGTGTATGTTGTCTTGGACTAGGTGAGTCAAAGTATATGGAATAATTTTTTGTACATTCCATCGGACTCACTTTCCCTCTCATTGAAATGATTGGGATGTGAACACATCAAATCTATTCTTGGTGGACCACATCTTATATTATTCTCAAAGCAATGCCAAAAGCAACTGTCCAAATGGCAGACCTAGACAAAAAGGCACTCCAATGGTGCATGCAATGGACAGTGACAAACATCTCTGTTTCTAGGAATTTGTTGCAAAAAGGACAAAACTCATACTATAAAATAATCAAAACTTTTAAAGGGATCAAACCTTCTTTTGTCAAGGATGAAGCAAGACGCCTCTATAAGAATTACACTTGAAAGATTCTTTTTATCCTTCTGTTGTATGCAGTTGGTGTCAACCTATCGTATATTTATGAAAAAGCTTCATATGAAGCCACTGCCATAAAAAAAAACATGTTTAATGGATTGTGTGCAGCTCTTTGTTGAGACGTTCATAATGTTTGCATGTATTGTGAAGGTTAACACTACTCGAGCCCACTTCCATCTGCCACACACATGCTATGTTTATATTTGCACCAGGTGGAACTTGCAAATTGCTCTACCCACATCAACCTGAACCCTATGTTATACATACACACCACAAAGATGGAGACATGTTTAGTCTTCAATGTGGTTTGGGGTTCAGTATGCACAAGCAACAATGCAATTCAACACACACATAGCAAAAATGGGCTATATCACTATAAACTTAGCACTGCGAAAAATATGCTTTCCCTCTCCATCTGCCAAGACCTTCAAAAATTGCTAATGGAAAGCTACATTAACATTGTTAAGTGGTAAAAAATGCCCATGCTGTCTTTAACTACACCTCTAACCTCATCCCATCAATGCACATATGAGACTTTAGAACAAAGACTATCACACTTCAGAACTGCCTTTGAATACGTGAATGTGGATGAGGGCTCAAATGTTACTGACGCCCTAGATCCATGCTACAATGCACAGACAGTCCTGATTTTCAAAAGCACCATTTACTGGCTGCATGACCGCGTTTTCGCTTTGGGTGCGAAACCAGCCCCATCCTAATAGTATCCTTGTATGAAGATTGCATCAGATAACTGGAAATTCTTGTTCCTAGGTAACTGAGGCTGTGGATATAAAAAAATGTCAGGAAAAAACCCATCTTAAATGAATTGATGGTTTATAAATTATGTTAAAATAAAATTAAAATTAACTGTAGAACTTTGTGAACACCCTACAAGAATATATATGCATCCATTTTGCACCCTATAATTCTCTTGCCTCAAGGGAACACACAATGGATTGTAGTGTCAACAAGCAGCTTACAAAGGCATGAGACCTTCAGCATTAGACCAGGTCATTTTCCTGGTAAGCTACTTAAATGTAACAAACAACTGCCACAGTAGTTACAAGGACCATATAACGCTATTGCTACGTTTATGAGAATCAAATCTTTTTGTAGGTTTCAATGCTTGGTTTGAGCTTTTGTCAACATTTAAGCACAGCTACAACATAGTGTTATCTGAATTGTCCCACATCAAGGAGTACTAATACTCAAGGGCTAGCCACAACCACCTCAAAACTTGTGAACGTTGCATATTCTTCTCCTGGTCTTTCAGGTGAGTACACGTTGCTCCTCACAGCAGGACTGATTCATGCATGGACAATCCATCTGTTTGGTGCCTGTAGTGGTGTGTGGGGCCTGAGGACCTTGGATATTGGTAGAGTGGTGAGCTAAATTCTTCTGGGGTTGGGGGAGTCCTGTATTTCATAGGTCTATCCACAGAAATGGTGGGGGTGTTATGGTCTTTAACAGGCATTGACTGAAACAGTGGGTATTTATTTAGGTGGCCCAAATGGTTTTGGCTGCCATTTTGGTTCCACGGGTGCCCATAAGCATCCTGTCTATACATATAAGCAGGATCTTGCCACTTTCTATTATCTGGTAAATAATCTGCTGGAGGAAGTACAAATCTGATGTCTGCAGATGATTTAGGGCTGTTTGGAGAAGTGTCACTGGGGAGAACCTCTATCCGACTAGAGGGTTTCACAACAACGTTTTGGTGGCCGACAAAATAATTTCTATGTGATTTATTAGGCAACATCTCTGCTGGAAAATCAGAGATGTACGATCGGTTGGGAGAGTTGTTTCGATTTCCAAGATTGTACTGTGTGGCTGTGAAACTGGAATGAACTATGCTTGTAACGTGCTTTGGAGAGCTTCCATGGTAAACAGGTGGATTGCTGTAAGACGGTGGAGGTGGTTTGATACTATGTCCAAAGTCTGTCCCATCAGACTGGGAGGAATATCTGGGGACTCTTGGTTGTGAGTTGAAGGCATAACTGTTGGAAATTTTTGGTGGACTAGAAGTTTTTTCTGCCGGCTTTGCTGAACTGCTAGAGTAAGCTGGGTTTCTTGGACTTTGCAGGATTGCTCTTTCAAGTGCCTCATCCACCAAGTTCTCACTCTCTAGGTCTGCCCCAGGAACATTGTCATACTGTGATGCATTTGACCCTCGCTTACCTTCATCGACATCCAAGACCCTCATCTTTTGCTTTACATTGAAGGACTGTGCCTCACCATTAGGACTAGGGGGTGTTCCTGAACGAGCAGGATTCACAGATCGACCCTTGAGCTCCATGGTGATTTTCGTAGTTTTTTCAATAATTTTCATATCTGAAGGTTTGATCCACCTGGGAACAAATTCCTTTCCTGTATTTAAAATAGCATTGGAATTTTGGTTAGCAGCTGCACTATGATTCTGCTGGGAGTCAGACTCCGCTTGAACCTCAGGCTTTTTCTTGTTGCTCTCAGGGTCCTGCTTTGGCAATCCACTCCGTACATTTGGTGTTGCAGGCTTTTGCTGCCTCAAGGAAGGCCTCTTCTCCAGAGAATTTCTTCTTCTACGGTGGTTTGGTGAGCTTCCTTGCTCTCTCTCCACAGGTGTTCTTGGTGAGTTTTCTTCTACTCTTTCTGCAGGCACTTTGTGTCCTGTTCTCTGGCTGGCTCGAGCATTGTTCGTGCTACTCTGCCCATTGACCAGATGAGTAAGATTCAACATGGCAGTCTGAGTTTCAGGCTCGATTTTCTCAAACTTCTTTGGAAGTTCATCCTCTTTACCTGGTAAAAAATAAATAAATATGGGTAAGCATCCAAGATAGATAGAAACGGAATATCTCACCACAGGTACCTTACACAGCTAAGGATGCACGTTAACACCTTATTTTAATTCAAAACACATGTTAATGCAAAAACCGAAAAGAAAGAACTGAGCTGGAGAGCTCAGAGCCGAACTCAAAGATTATGGCTGATTTAGTTTTATGCCCAATACACACACACTTTGACATTAATAGGAAACACAGGTGGTCAGCACGTATAATATTGAAAGAAATCATTCAAGCATAAAAGAATCTTATGACAAATGTAAATAACATGTCGAAACTGATTTCCTGACTCTGTAAGGACTCAAACATAAGGACAAGTTCATCTAAATCAAGCTGGTGAACATGGCTACAGATATTCAGGGTCATACTTAGAGGATTATTCAATTCTAACACTGAGATTTAGGTGACTAGTGACCTGCGAACGTTCAATGGGGAGAGGGGGAACTCTTATCTTCTTAAAAGGTTTATGTATATCCACATCCCCTTCTTCTCAACAGTCTGGTGAGCTGAATCATATTGACAGAGTTACTGGAAAACACCACCTTACTAGCTGCCCAATTATAAGCAACTATTATCTGCAGAAAGAGACCAAGCTGATGCCTAACCTGTAGATAACTCAGAATTTTGGAATGAATGGGAGTGAATGTTGAGGGAAGATAGCCCATTTCACATAAATATTGCTTCTCAATTCTTCTCTTGTTTTCTTCCTGTGATGATAATATTTGCAGGTTTGACTTTAGGAGGTGTGATTGTGGATTTGATTTAAAATGTTACCTCTGGGAATCTCTATGGCCAACTTCCACCTGAAGTTACATTGGGCAACCTAGAGATACTTCTCTAGGAATCTCTAGGTCCTCCAGTGGACATTGACCACAGAGATGTGATGGAGGACATAAAGATTCCTATGGAGATATTCTCTCTAGTAAAAGAAATTGGATTTTTAATTCAATGTTTCCACCTTTGAGCAGTCCTGCGTCCCTAACCATAGCAAATGATGAGGCCAGACTGTAAACTTTTGCTCAGAAAAATCTTAGAACACAGAAATATGTCTGATGCAAAGTCATACTACTGACCATAAAAATTTAAGAGGAACTTTCTAAGGCATCCTCTTCCTATAGTTGCTTAGCTGAAGCTCAAAGGCAGGACATGAAGACAATAGCAAAGTCCTACTTGTGTTCTCCTGCTGGGGAAAGTGGAAGGCAAAAGGAAGAGGGGCCGACCAAGGACAAGATGGATGGATGGCATCCTTGAAGTGACTGGACTGACCTTGAAGGAGCTGGGGGTGGTGACGACCGACAGGGAGCTCTGGCGTAGACTGGTCCATGAAGTCACGAAGAGTCGGAGACGACTGAACGAATGAACAACAACAACTTGTGTTCTCCACAGCTGATATACAGAAACATACAGAACACAGAACCATCATAACCTCTAGCCAATGATAGCCACATCATCCATAAGTTTATCCACTCACCCTCTGAAGCCTTCTAAATTGGTAGCAATCACTATTTCCTATGTGCCCTGTTTATGCATGGTAAGAAGTATGCCATTTATCTTTCTTCAATCTCTAACTCTCTGTTTCAATCCTCTTTGCTCAATACTGTCCCCAATGAAAACCAATAGGCTCCCAACAAACCTGCTCAACCCTATCTGAAGTTGCCAAGAGTTTGATCTTCCCACATATAAATGTATTATTTATTTATTTAAAACATTTATATTCCGCCCTTCTCACCCCGAAGGGGACTCAGGGAGGAGCACAGCATATATACGGCAACATTCGATGCCGGGACACAAATTCATATACACATACATAAACATTAAAAACATTTATCTCAATATTAAAATACACCATTTAAAACCGTCCTAGTTACCTGCGTCAAATCTAATTGGCCTATTAATCTTTCCCATTGCTGCTTTATTGCCCTGTCCTGAAAGCTTGGTCCCACAGCCAAGTTTTTACCATCCTTCTAAAGGACAGGAGGGAGGGGGCCGACCTGATCTCACCAGGAAGGGAGTTCCATAGCCAGGGAGCCATCACTGAGAAGGCCCTCCTACTGAGCTCCAAGCAGCCCTTTCTAAATTTAAAGCCATATGTTGAACTTAGCAGTCTACTGGTTTGTCCTAGAGTTCTTCATATGCACTTACGGAAGTACAGATGCAGAATTATTGAGCTGTATTTGACTAGACAGCTTACACTGTATATGTGAATTTAGAGAGCGCTGACATAGAGATGTGTTTTCGAGAATGCTCAACAGCTTCTGTTTTAACCTGTTGGAAGAAATCCCAGTCTCCTTCCCTCCTTGTATTTACAGCCAGACATGTGTTTCTTCTGTATGCTTCCAGCCTTAACCCCACCAGCACTTTTAATAGTTCCATATTATCACTGCTCTTCCCCTCTTTGTAAACATTTTGATTCAATGCATAGTTTTCCCCAAGAAAATTCATATAGGTTGATTAATAAGGGAGTTTTATTCTTTTTAATTTGGCACACTTTTCTCTTAATTACCATTAAGCTTTCAAGACACCCAAGTGAGAATGTTACAGACATTTTTATTGAATTCTTTGTTGCTTTGAAGATTACTCTCTGTAATCTCTCTCCCTCACATGTCAGAGCAAGGGAGAGTGCATCAGGCCTGATGTGTATGGTTCAAAGCTGTTTAGATGTTGTAGGCTAACACCTGAATTTTGAAAGCAGGGGAAAATGATGTTAGCATGACCCTACGCTGCCATGCTAGTTTTCCAATCGAGAGCCCCAGGTGACAAATGGAGAATTAACAGACGTACAAACAACCAAAGTTTTCCAAGGTCACAAGACTAAAGCCATGTGGCAAGCAGGGGTTGTGGGTTTCTAGCAGATGTGCAAAAATAATTGGGTCCAGTCTGCATAAGCAACAAAGGCAAATGGATAGGAGAGGGGATGAAAAGAGCTACTGCTTTAGATCCTGATCATGTGGCCTCCGTGTAGTGGTGATGAACTTTCACACCAGGCTCATATGGCAAAGGAAGGAGAAAACAACACAAAGTACACCGTTTGCTTAGATCTACCAGAATTGATCAGCCCCACTAATTTTAAAACAGCTATACAATCCAAAAGATGCTTAGGCCACAACACTTTTTTCTATTGAAAGTACCCTCTTCCTTGCAAAAAGATATTGGAAAAGAAAAATATCCCTTCTTTTAACCTGGAACTTTTCTTCAAAGAACTTCCCAAGTGCCTCTTGCTTGAATCTGAAGCCCATAAAAAGCAAACCAAGGTCAGATACCCAGTTGATACAAAAGCACAGGGAAGAGATATACAGGAGACCTTTTATGGCTGTCCCCTGCTCCTGACATGATGTTGGTTTACACAGACCTTGGCTAGGGTCAGATGTGACCATGAGAAAAAGTAAAAAAATTTAAACACCACCTCTATCAGGTAGTATTCAGTGCGACACAATGCATTTGGCAGTGCCCTGCCTGCTCTTCAACAATTGAAAGGGATGGTTTGGAATGAAATCTCTTTGAATTCAATAGAGCTTCCTTTCACGAAAATATGTTTATGATTATGGCATAAAAGCTGTGTGCTCCCATTATGTGTTTTGTGTAATACCAAGTGCACAATTTGCAACCCTATAATTACGGCAGGATTGCTTTAAACACAAAAAGGAGCTACGTATTATGCTCATAAGGTCTCCCTCTTTTCTTTTTCTTCTTCTTCTTTTAAAAATAAGCCAGCTGGATGCTTGAACTGCAGGGCTGGAGCTGAAACCTGGAGCAGCTGGAGCCTGAAGTATGGAGGGCAGGAGCAGATCGGTTCTGTTCATGTCGAACAAAGCTAGCAGCAAGGGTCCAATGTTTTACACAAGATCTGGCCAGGATAAAGGCTGCATGTTCACCCGCCTATCATGGGAGACTGACCTTGGACAACCCTCCTTTGGGGAATTGCACAAGTTTTAAAACGGTTATGCAAGCAGTTGCACTTTCTCAGAGATTGTGAAAGTGTATTCCCTAAAGCAGCCAACCATTCTGTAAATATACACACCCGGCCCTCTCTCAAACTTTTGGTTTGGTGTGTTGTGCTTTTGGATCCTCTGAGTGTGCTTCCATTCCTCAACAAAATGGTGCTCACAGTGGATATTAGATTTTTAACATTTATACTTTGCCTTTCCTCTAGTGAGCTAAAGGGAGCTCTCCTCTCCATTTTGTCCTTACAACAATTTTGTCTCCCCCTTTGAGGGGAGAAGGGTGGGGTATAAATATAGGAAATAAATAAACAAATAATCTTGTGAAGTAGATCAGAATGAGACAGAATGGCTGGCGTAAGAACACCCAATGGGATTCATGGTTTATTGGAAAACAGAGGCCCAGATCAGTAATTCAACCGCAACATCTCACAGGTCCACCATATTCTTCAGTGACCAACTAGAGGGCCCTAAAAAACCACAAATTGGGCATGAGGGCAATCATGTGCTTCTGTCTTTCTGCCCATATAACTGCCATTTAGAGTCCAAACAGCTAATACTCACTTACATATACAAATATGTGAACAATATAGGCTTTTGAGCTAGATAGCCAGTGGGCAGAGCGCCATACACATGTGCATCCACACAAACATGTTGGTGTTGGAAGCAGCTCTATAGATACTGATAATGGGGAGAAATTATTGATTGAAGTATAAATATGGATTCTCTTAGCCAGTATGTGTAATCTGAAAAGGTAAGGTTTCCAAGATCTAGATGGGGCTGGTGAAAGGTCTCTCCTAGTTTACAGAGCTTTGGGTACGGCCTTGATGTCTGTTGAATAGCTGGCTGTTAAACTTTGGGCCCCAGAGCAATTATATATTTAATATAAGTCAACCCCATGTGTAAATTAAAGGTATATTTTGGGCACAAAATTATGGTCTTTGATATAATTCATGGATAAGTCGAGGGCCACATAGGGAGTGGAAAATGCTAACATGACTCAGGGGTCCAGCTGCCC